TTCAGATGCTTGGCACCTGGCCCACATTTACCATCACAGTGTGTGCTTCAACGTCCTTAGCGGCCTATCTCCCGCCCCCCCCCCACCCCCCGTCCAGCTCTGCTCTTTTGGTCCCCCTGCACTCTGGCAACTTAATTAAAAGGAAAAAAAAAAGAAAATAATATGCTCTAATTAGTCACAAATTGATGCTGGTCTACTACAAATAATAAATGTTCACTGTAAAGAGATTGGAGCAAGATTCAACTTATTACAAATCAACAAAAGACTTTAAATAGAAGTAATATATTCGTAACTTCTTTGTATAGAAATAAGGACACTAGTCAATGAAAGTTGACTTAGCACAACACAGAAAAAAATAGTACAAATTAAGCCTAGCATAATTCCTGAATAAATATTTTACCTATTCCTAAAAAATGCCATTTCTGAAGCAAAAGTTCCTGTACTTCAGTTACCTGGACATCCTAACTCCTTGGAAATCCCAGACTTTAATCAGAGTCTGTGGGAAACTGGGTTATTCCACTGCTTTTCTCAGCATAGATTCACAGCTTCTGAGTTCTGCTCTTAATTTTAAAACAATCAGTGTATTTCTGTCTCCAGCACAGGCAAAGCCTGGCACTATCCACCTTTGTATATTGAATATAGAAGATTTCTCCATTGTGAGAATGTGTATTCTGCTTATGGCCTTGAGAGCTGCTTTCCCTTGTGGGGTATGGACTGATAGTCTGGAATTCCCCCCAAATGACATCTCTTTATATTAGAATGGTAAAAGTTCATAAAATACTTTATTTTCAAAATGTCAGTGTACAGTTTTTATGATTAAATTATATTTTTCAATTAGAAATTGCATTTGCAACTGGGTCTCTCTTAATTCACCATCCTCCAGTTTTTTTCTAGCAAATAAAATAGCTCAAATAATACCTGCTTTCTGTGTTATCTTGCTCAAAGAATAGAAGCACAGATTGAAATTTAATAAATATACACCAGAAATCAAGAAACCAGAAGCCAGTAAATCACAGATGTTATGAAACCGTATAAATATGGTGAAACATAAAAGGACAATAAGAACATAAATACCGACAATGCCTTTTAGTAAGAGATAGTGCTTTCGTATGTTCAGTCACTAAGGAATGAAAGTGGCACAGAGAATTCGGGTTCCTAGAGCTTCCTCTAGCCATTTGCTGAAAATCATCACACTTTCTAAAGTGTTGAATGCATGAAAATCATCATGTAATCAATAAAAGAGGCTTCCAATGGTTTTAAAAATCAAAGAACCCAACCTAAGAAAATATTCCAACCCCCATATATATATAATACATTCCCATCCATCTCTGACTCATTGTCCTGACTATGGCTGCCTTCAGAGTCACTCCCCTCCAGATGTTAAATATGACCACCAAAATATTTCCCGTCCTTAATGCTGATACTGTAATGTAGCTATAGTGAAAATGTGTACATTTTTTATGAACCTAAGTCAGATAATTCAAAACTGGGATCCATAATGTTTCTGTATGGTCTTTCAGTAAAAATTAATAGATTTAGCTGATGTAATTGAATTTATGTACAGCATTACAGTTCAGAACTCTATTAGAGAGCATTATTCTTTTTTTCGTAGGATTCAGTCTTTTTTAACTACATCCCAATATTAACCAGTGCACCAAATTCTTATAATCTGTAGTTCTAATTCTAGTTTAATTGCTGAATTAGATGTATTAGTAAGATACATTTTAATAACTTCAGCTAGCATGTAATACAAATAGTTTGTTTTAATTTGCTTTTATTGTTAAAGGAATTCTTATTACTGTTTTCCCCACCAGAAAATGCCTGTGTTCTCTTTGCCATCTCGCTCCTCATGTTTACAATCAGTGCTATGTTGGTATATGGAGCAATTACTGTAAGTTTTACTTGAATGATTCTAATTTCTCATCACTATTGTTTTCTTTTCTCTTCAAGAGTAACACATTATTCTTGTTTTATATTTTTAGCATCGTGTCAGTTGGCTGATTCCATTCTTTTGTTACCAGCTTTTTGACTTTGTTCTCAGCTGTCTCATGGCTATAAGTTCTCTGACTTATTTGCCAAGAATAAAAGAGTACCTGGATCAACTAGTAAGTGTCCATGACAACAATCCTAATTGAGTGGTGGGAGGCAATGTAGCGAGTCATGCACAATTCGTAAGATTAGCAAGCTCACGTGGACTGGATGAGATATAGGATATATGGCATTCTTAGTTCTTAATCCCAATGTATCTATATAAATATACATTTATATATATTTGATATCCCAATATCAATATAAAAATATTTTTAGAATTTCCTGTCTTTGAAACTGGCAAGAATTAGTTGTCCTAACTCCAGGCTGGCATAGATAGAAGACCCAGTCTGCACTCATTGGAAAAGCAGAGACATCCATTGCAAGCTTTTTTCTACGCTGGTGAAATCTACTGCTGGCAGAAATGCCATTTATGGTAGATATACACCCATGGAATGTTCTTCCAGTATGCCTGAGATCTCTGGGGAATATGAGGCCTTTAACATGGAGGATCTTTCTTTGCTGTCGAAGAGGCACTTTTGTTGCATTGACACTTTTTACAAAATGCCCACATTTAGAATACCTCTGTGTATATAAATTGTGTCTTGAGATCTGAGATAAAGTAATATCAGTTTCTTTAACTGGAAGAAACATTGTTTTTGGATCCTCATATATAGTCCATTGCCTCTACTCCGGTGCTACCGAAACCCCTGTTCTTCCCCTCTTCTTTCAGATGGAAGTTATGCCATATTGAGCTGTGTGACCTCAGTTAAATCTACCTTCTGTGGTTCAAGGCAAAGGAGTTTTTGTAACAGTTGCGCTAGCTGTAATGACAGTGTACAAAAATGTTCCCCTGCCCCCATCTGCTTTGCTTCATAACAAAATAACAATTTTTAAAAACACAAAAAATCAGTGTCTTTTGCTTTGGATTAAATTTCACAGATCTGGAATAAGTTTTTGTAGATACCAAAGAACTTGATATTAGTATCAGTTTGTAATACTGTATTACTGTTTCTTTTTCTAGCCAGAATTCCCATACAAAGATCACCTCCTTGCTCTTGATTCAAGCTGTCTTCTGTTCTTTGTTCTGTTGTTCTTTGTCTGGTTCATTCTTTTAAAGGTCAGTTTTTGGATACTTTATATTGTACCTTTTTAAGGGATATGAATTTCTCATTGATGTCTTAGTAATTAAACATTAAAACATATAATTTGAGTTTCTTGACTATCCTTCCAGTTACCTATATGAGTGTTTTTCAGTCTTAGGTTATAGTTAGGTAGTTCTCTTTCCTGTAGCCCTTTAATTGAACTGAGAGTTAAGTTATGATTGGTTAAATGATTTCTGTTCCCTCTCTCACACATTTATTTTATTTCTGTGCATTGTTTTTCCTTTTGCATACCCATTTTGCTGATGGTGGCATCCTTTCCAGCTAAACTGAAGGCATTAAGATATCTTCTGATGTATTAGAGGAGCCTGAACTGTCACCTCTTTAGATTGGTACTTTAGTTACAGTTGTAGCTGGCTTAGTTTATTAGAGAGCAATGGCACTGATTTGGATAGAATAAATAATGAGCTTATTTAATAGGATGTCAAATAGTTATATATTTGTGCCTCTAAAGATGCTGTAATTCACAGTTCTTCTGCTGTTATGGTACATTCAGATAGTGTTTTTTCCCCCTTGCAGGCCTATCTAATTAATTGTGTCTGGAACTGCTATAAATACATTTGCAATAGAAATGTGCCTGAGATAGCAGTCTACCCAGCATTTGAAGCACCCCCACAGGTAAATGATTTATGAAATTAAACTAAGATCATTTCTAATTTGAAGTTCTAGGGCTGCGATCATGGAGTATGTGTTTCATCTGTACCAACTTCATTTCTTTTCTTTTTTTTTATAGTATTTTATTGAGATTTTAAAACTACAAAGTTAAAAGTTAGAAATGAAAAAGAAAATTGAAAATACAAATTATAAAGAAAAGGAAAAGAAAAAGTGAGATAAAGTAAAAGAACAAGAAAAAAGACATGAAAAATAGATAGCTTCCAATCTATCTCTGGTCTTAAGAATAATAAGAGTATCATAGGTGCTAGTTTTAAAAGAAAAAGAAAAAAGACATGAAAAATAGATAGCTTCCAATCTATCTCTGGTCTTAAGAATAATAAGAGTATCATAGGTGCTAGTTTTAAAAGAAAAAGAAAAAAGACATGAAAAATAGATAGCTTCCAATCTATCTCTGGTCTTAAGAATAATAAGAGTATCATAGGTGCTAGTTTTTAATGCATTAAGTAGGAATAATTCTTTCTCAAAACATCTCATTACATTTATAATCTAATCTTCAAATCCCCATGTAAGCTTCGCCCCACCTGCATTTTGCAAATAGTTCATCAGTGGTTTCCATTCTTTAAGGTAATAATTATTTGATTTTTCTTTTTAATAAACAAGTCAGTTTATCATTTTCTGCCATGTACCAGCTTCATTTCTAATACACACTCAAATACACATTCATTTCTAATACATACTCAAAGAGTCACTTAGGTGAGATGGACGGCCATACAAATTGAATAACTAAATGCATTCATTATCCGTTAAGCTATCAGCTTGGTATTTTAACATAAAGACTCCCTCAATTTGGATTCAACCTTGGGTGACTGACATATTTTATTGGATATATAAAAGTGGCTTACAATTATCTGTGGATTTTTTGACTTTCTAGTCTAGCCTGTGGCCTACGTAGTTCCTAGTTATCTTCCATCCAAGTCCTGTTCATGCCCAATAGTTAGCATCTGCCCTTTATTTAAGGCTTTATTCACATACAGCTAACCAAAGCAGTATTGCTCATTCAAATTTAGCAGAATGGCTGAGCCTGTAAGATGGAAGGTTGCAAGGTCTCAAACCACCTCTTCCAGAAGTGCTGTAGATCTTCACATCTTGGTCTCTCCTGCTTTGGGGGAGCAGCTTGGGGTTCACTGCCACTATTTTCCTCAGCTGACGTCCTCTTTGCTAATACCAATATGTGTGTGAGAGAGGGTTCTCACACGTTCTCACTGTGCTGCTTTTCTAGTGAATTTTTTTTTTAAAAAGTGTAGTAATTTCAATAACGTGAACTCCTAGTTATGTAATTTAGACTCTGTATGTGAATAGAAGAGTCAGCCTTATCTTTCCCTCCTTGGGAAACAGACCAAACTCACTTGAGATAAACAAAAACTTTAGTTTAAAAGAAAGAAAGACAAAATATAAAGATCATTTTTTAAAAAAAAATTAAGTAGAAAAACATTCAGAGATAAAGAGGATAAATTCTAGAGCAGTTCAGTGCTACAAAACAGCTGCTTGAAAGAACCATATTAAAAAAAAAGCAGTGATCTTGGCAGATCACAAGATGTCAGAAGTCAGTTACAAATAGCTTGTCCTTTGCCGCAAAGTCTGGTAAAAACAGGACTGGGTAGATATTTCAAATTAATATTACAGATTACAAGAAAATGTGTTTATTTTCCTACACAAGCTGACAGATGGATAAAGGCTGAGATTACAGATTCAATTCCAAGTTTTTTTCAGAGAAAAGAATTTAGACTTGTGTAACATATAAAAATGAATCAGGAAACTTACACAAATTCCTGGGTGGACCTTTACTTATTTTTAATGAAATTGACTACTTCCTGAAGCAAAATGATTCTCTGCTTCAAGGTTCCTTGATTGCTCCTGTTTCTTGGGGGCTCCTGAATTGCTTTCCTCAGAAGCTCTTGGAGAGATGGAAGTTTCCCTTACTCAGCCTTTTTCTCCACCTTCTCCAGAATTTCCCCTGCTTTTAAAATGACCAGAATTTTCTATATCTTCAGCAGAGGGAGGGATGGAGTAATTAACTCTGCCTGTGACGCAAAGCCCTATCTCGTTCAAGGGCATGTGTGTTCTTTCTGAGTCTATAGTCAGCATGGAGGGAATGTGTGCTGTGAATGTTTGAGCTTGTTAGCTGGCGAGGAGGCTACAGTTGTTACAAGAGATGGAGATTAAGGCATCGCTTTTAAAAAAAAAATGTTTAGAAGTGCAGCAGATGAAAAATATAAATGCTTCAGAGCAATGCATTTATTTGGAATTCACCAATGATATGAGATTCTTTGTGCTCTGTAATGTCTAATTGAGAGCTGTTTCAAATATAATCTGTGCTTACTACTACTCAAATAAGACAACTGTTGACAACAGAGAAACCACTTGGGTTCTAACTCATATACTGTGCATACATAAAATCACTGATTTTAAGTAACACAGCAATTCATTCAGTAGTTTAATATTAGTTTTAATTTAATTTCTCGAGGCACTTTGCCTCTGAGGAAAGTCAATTACTGAAACTTTCATGAGATGCCTTGAAAATTGCTTATTACTATTACAAATATGTTAGTTGATGCTGTGTTGTGTCTTGATATGCTCAGTTGACTAATCAATAAATTGTTAATGAATAATAAGTCTTTTTTTTCCTCTTGCAGTATGTTTTGCCATCTTACGAAATGGCAGTGAAAATGCCAGAAAAGGAATCGCCACCTCCTTATATTCCTGCCTGAAGCAGTCAAACTTGTAGCAAAACAACTGTACTAGCTTCAATTTTTATATTGTAAGATTGCTTAAATATTCAGGGTTTTAGGAGCAACCATATGAGGTTGAGAGGCATTTGATATAACCTTACTAAACAAAATTCATAAGGGAGCGATTTTTCTCCCTCTTGCTAGATTTAATTTTATTGATGCCGTGGGCTTAATTTTGCAAATATTTCTGCTTCTGTATACAACTCCAGTTGTATGTATTTGTTACTTCATTTTACTTCAAGAAGTAAGTTTAGTTCTGGAGATTAACATTTAGAAAATCAGCCATTTTACAAATATAGATTAGTTCCAAAGGACCATCATATCAGATGGCAAGATTTTTTTCTTATTTTTCCTTTAGTGCGGGAAAATGATTTCATATGTGATACACTATTGCATATATGTATTTACCTGAAACTTTTTATGTTATATTAGTTTTTACTGTGTTATCCCTATGCCTTGAAACACTATTTTCTAAAAGCCTAAAGTTGGAATTGTTTGACATTTTTGCCATATGGTGTGAATACCAGAAAAGGAAACACAAAAGCTACATTTGTCATTTGCTTGCTTCAAATCGGTATGTATTTTCATCTTTGTTTATAAATGACACTTTAATAAATCTTTAAGAAAATAATTTGAGGATTGTTTTATGGTATATATTCATTGGGTTAATTATTTTTACATTTTTGTTTAAATTGTTCAGCAGAAGGCCGAACAGTTCATTTGAGAAGTGAAATGCAATTATAAAACTTAGTGAACTGGCCTCTCTCTTTTCCTCTTTCTTTCCCCAGTTTTGCTTTAATTAAACTGCAGTAACATTAACAATAATGGTGGAACTTTAAGGATAGGATAAGAAGGTAGCAAATTAAAACAGGCTAATTATCTATCATATGTTGAAGCCAGTACATTGCTAAGGAAGAACCATTATTCTCAGAAAGTATTACTTAAAGAAGAAATTGCTTTTACACTATTAATATTGTATCAGGGTTTTCAAGAAAAGCCATTTGTCCAGGATGGTCTGAGGATTTCTGCACTGGGTAGGGGGTTGGACTAGAAGACCTTCAAGGTCCTTTCCAGCCTGTGGGTTCTATGATATATTTTGACTAGATGTCATGATCCCTTTGCCATAGGAATTGGGAACAAATATTGGCAACAATAATGTATTGTTCGTTGACCCAGGAAGATAGTCTAGAGATGGCTCTCCAGTAACTCAGCGTTTACTTATTTGAAATCATGGATTTGGTTGGATTGTTATTAAGCAATGTTAAGGATATAGTTGGGATGCTGTCTTTTAATGCAAAAATTTGATTGTTGATATGTATATATATGCATGTGTAGATGTATGTATATATAAACCTTTTCTGTAAGTTAAATGACAGTTACCTTTTTCTTTTCATTAATGAAAGCCAGCTGGATGATTTGGAGCCATTTACTTTCAGCCCATCCCATCTCACAGAGTGGTTTTGGGGAAATGAGGCGGGAGCATTTTGCATACCACCTTAAGCTATACATAATAAAGGCAGGATATACATCTAATAATAAATAAGTAAATAAATAAATACCACTCTGTAATGTTAGGAACTTTTTTTTAAAAAAATCTTGTTGAACGGGGAAAGGAAACTTCAAACATGTTGCTACAGAAAAGCATGTGACACATGCTCAGTGATGGATATATAAGCCCCAGAAATAATGAACTACAGTACTTTGCTATAGCTCTGAAGTCCAAGGATAGAAATATGTATCAGCCCATATTGATACACTTGGCAAAACATCTGGACTGTTTGAAAGTCTGCTAAGACAGAGGAAGTAATGGACATCAAAACAGAGTTTTATCAATACCTATAAAAATGGAAACTTGAATTCAGTAACAAATGCAGTCTGATAAGATGAATTCTTTGTACACATGAAATCAGTTAAAAAAAATTAAAGCCACCTCCTATCACAAAAATATCCTTCTCTGTTTTTTATCTACATTATATATTGAGTAAAATGATTTCCAAAATCATGGTGTACTGTTAAATAATATATTTGAGGGATGATAACCACAAAAATAACATTTACACTCTTATATGCAATTCTTCTACCTCTCTCTCTCTCTCTCTCTCTCTCTCTCTCGTCTTTTACATATAGATATGACAAACCCCCAGGTTTTGACATGACACAACAATATCATCTCTCCAATACAATTGTATTTAACACTAGCATAAATGTTGGACCAATGGTGGTTGGGAACCTAAGTTCAGCAGCTGGCAACGTTTTGATTTATTGGCTAGAGCCAGGGCATCAGATACAGAGCATTTGCTTGATTGGACAAAACAAGTCAGTCCCTGTAGCTTTCCCTCATCTTTGTGCAGGTAGTCCTCGCTTTAACAATAGTAATTGGGACTGGCAATTCTGTCACTAAGTGATGTGGTCATAAAACGTGATGTGACCACACTGATACAACGGCAGTCCCAGTTGCTATCATTAGGCGAATCCTGTGCAGTTGCAGAATCCTGCAGTCACATGATCACCATTTGTGACCTGCCAGCTTCCCCATTGAACTGCTTGTTGGAAGCCGGCAGTGAAGGTCACAAATGGTGATCACGTGACCGTGGGATGCGATGTAATTGCAAGCCGGTTGCCAAGTGCCCAAATTGTGATCAAGTGACTATGGGGACATTGTGATGGCCGCAGCTACAAGGACCCGTCATATGTCCCCCTTGTTCAGCGCCGTTGTAACACTGAAACATAGCTGACCGAGTGGTGGTTCAACCAGGAGTTCGCTGCTGGCTTCCAACAAGCAAAGTCAATGGGGAAGCCAGCAAGAGGTTGCAAACGGCGATCATGTGACCGCAGGATGCTTTGACCGTGCAGGAGTCTCCTAACAATGTCAACTGGGACTGCTGGAATTACTGTCTAAGTTGGCACAATCATGTGATGTCACACCTTACAACTGCGTTGCTTAGCAGTGGAGTTCCTGGTTCCAATTACTGTTGGTAAGCAAGGGCTACCTGTAGTTCTAAAGGACTAAAAATAAAAAATATCACTACAACTAAATAAATCAACATAATAAATTGAAATCAGTACACTTGAAAATCAATAATAGATTTAAGACTAATATAAATAGGTAGTAAATGACCAGATGTCACCCAAAAATGCTCTTCTGAATTGACCTGTCTTTAAAGTCTTCCTAATTTTTATTGAAAACTCACTAATGAATAATAATCACACTTATCAAACTGATGTCCCTAAGATTACACAGTCCTGTAAATGTTTGATATTGTAGGATGAAAACCATCTTAATCCATGGTGGCAAAAAATCAGGAGTTTGGTAGGACCTTTTTCAACTAACAAATGTTATTAAAAATTTGTTGAATATTTTTGACACATTTACATTTATGTATCATAATTCAGTATATGGTAAGTTTTACCATTAGCTGCTGATTTTGTTACTGCTCTGACCAACCAAAGCTCATCTTTCACTAATAAGTAATATGGGAAATTGCTTGGCTGAAAAATTAGAACAAAGAATTTTGGAAAAAAATCTGTAATGAAAAGTAGTTTATGTCAAATTTGGTTACATTATTAATGCTTCCCCTAAGAGATTACTATCATATGTACAGGTGAAACTTGAAAAATTAGAATATCATGCAAATGTTCATTTATGTCAGTAAGGCAACTCACAAGGTGAAACCAATAT